CCATATGAAATGGTCCTTTTTAAGTCAGTGCAGGTGTACTGTGGGGTGGGAGGGTTTGGAGTGTTGGGGGGGGGGGGCTGAAGCTTGAGGAGTCTCACGCCTAGGTGCGAGCAGATTATTCAAATAGGGCCCAAGGCGTAGAAGTAGGATTGGAGGCTTGGCTGGCGCACACAGATATATCAGTGCGTAAAGCGGCTGCACCGAGCGTCATTTTCAACTGCGCTCACTCTCTGACGCATTACGCGGGTGCCTCTCCCTTTTGTGCGCCACTCTCGGACTAGGAGGGACGCAGCAGCTACGCCGACATATGCTCCAGTGGTCCCTAGTCAGCGGCGATATACGAGAGACGCTTTTGGCTTTTTTTTTCCTTAGCTGGGAGACGCTCGGTTGAAAGTCCTCCATGATGCTTGGAGCAGTTAAAATGGAAGGACACGAACACACCGACTGGAGCACCTACTACGCAGAGCCCGAGGTGGGTACCTTAAATATATATTTCCCCCCCGTTGTCTAAGGCCGATCCCATTTTATACAACTCAATATTAGCCCTGAGATAATATTAACTTTGTGATCAAATATTGACTTGAGGCGCCTCCAAATCCTCCCCCATCTCCACGCCGCGCGCGCGCGCAATCCTAACAAAGTTGCTTGACATGTAGAGGAGGAGGAGGAGGTGGGGTAAACTTTTTCACTTGGATTATAATTTTTGTCTATATACCTATCTTCACCAAATCACACTGTTTTTTTTACCCTGTTTTCACTCGACAAACAGCGGAGATGTTTGATTTGGGGAGCAGATTGGTTCAAATATTTGTGATGCGCTCGTGTGTGCGCTCCTCACTATCTTCTTCGTGAGGCGATGCAGTTTGAACACCAGACATGACGTGTACTGTTTAATATACGATTTAGAAGCAACCACATCAAATACATTTGTACACTTCTGACATAAATTACATTATGTCTCTCTACCGGGAAAGCTCGGGGTGGCAAACGCGATGTCTGATTTTGAATCTCTGCTTAAGACTCCCTTTGTTAGTTTGGTCTGTCTGAACGGCGTTGGTTATATTCTATTTTATATCCTTTTAATACAATACGTACTTTTCTCGTGCAATTGTTTAATCGTTTAATTTTATTCATTGACATTGTGAAGCTTTGTTTCGAAGGATGCTATGTATTATGTATGATTCGTCCAGTGACAAATTTCTTATATAAGCGATCGTGCACTATTTAATATCACTGATACAAGTGAGTATTAGTTGACGATTTAATAACACTGATGCACATTGCATGTGTAAATTAGTTTCACCTGAGGTTTCATGAAATGTCTTTTCATGTCTAACCTGTTCGCCCTCTCCAACGACAGTGTTACACCTCTGTTGGCAACATGAACGCCGGCCTGGGCATGAACACGATGAACACCTACATGAGCATGTCCGGCATGAGCACCTCGGCCAACATGTCGGCCAACTCCATGAACATGTCTTACGTCAACACCGCCATGAGCCCCAGCATGACCGGCATGTCCCCGGGCGCCGGCGCGATGAACGGCATGGGAGCCGCCGGCATGACGGCCATGAGCGCGGCCCTGAGCCCCAGCATGAGTCCCATGACCGGGCAGCCCGCCTCCATGAACGCGCTAACGTCCTACACTAACATGAACGCCATGAGTCCCATCTACGGCCAGTCCAACATCAACCGCTCCAGAGACCCCAAGACGTACCGACGGAGCTACACGCACGCCAAGCCCCCCTACTCGTACATCTCCCTCATCACCATGGCCATCCAACAGTCTCCTAGTAAAATGCTTACTCTGGCCGAGATCTACCAGTGGATCATGGACCTCTTCCCCTTTTACCGCCAGAACCAGCAGCGTTGGCAGAACTCAATCCGCCACTCGCTCTCCTTCAACGACTGCTTCCTCAAAGTGCCCAGGTCGCCGGATAAACCCGGCAAAGGCTCCTTCTGGACTCTCCACCCGGACTCGGGGAACATGTTCGAGAACGGTTGCTACCTGCGCCGCCAGAAGCGTTTCAAGTGCGATAAGAAGATGGCCGGAGTCAAGGAGTCCGGACGCGGCAAGGTGGGCGGCGACGGCTCGTCTCACAGCAGCTCTGAGAGCTGTAACGGCAACGAGTCGCCGCACTCCAACTCGTCCGCGGGCGAGCACAAGAGAGCGATGTCGGACATGAAGGCGAACCAGGCTCTTAGCCCGGAGCACGCCGCCTCCGTCGCCGCCGCAGCCGCCGCCGCCGCTGCCGCAGCCGCCGCGGCCTCCTCCATCTCGTCCCCGGTGAGCCAGGGCCAGCACCTCCTCTCCCAACATCATTCGGTCCTGCAGGCCCACGACGCGCACCTCAAGCCGGAGCACCACTACTCCTTCAACCACCCGTTCTCCATTAACAACCTCATGTCCTCGGAGCAGCAGCACCACCACCATCACCACCATCACCACAAAATGGACCTAAAAACTTACGAGCAGGTGATGCATTATTCCGGCTACGGTTCCCCCATGACCGGGGCCCTCTCCATGGGCTCCATGGCGGGGAAGGCCGGCCTGGAATCCTCCTCCATACCTGACTCCTCTTACTACCAAGGAGTCTATTCCAGGCCCATCATGAACTCATCATAAACGGACTTCTATATCAACATGTACATAACTTGTAAAAAAAATATGAATTAAAAAAAAAGAATTTGTGTACAATATGTATTTCAAATATTTTTCCCACCGTTTCAATTGTCGAGTTTGTTAGTAGCCCAATTGTTGTTCATAATCTCTGTCACTGACTGAAAATGTGACCTGTTCAGAAATCTGCTGCAGGAATGAACTCCAAAGAAATCAAAACATTAAACAAAAATAAAACGAAAAGAACATGAAAAGAAAGAAAGAAAAAAGACGAAAAACAACCCGCATTTGCTTAACTGGAATCCGGGCATTTCTTCAGTCATTTGTGTAATTCCTATTTATGGCTTGTATATGTGTATTCTTGTAGTGACAAGAGCAGAATCTATATTAAAGTGTTATTGGTCACGTTTTCTGAAAATTATGGCTGCTGAGAAATTATTACAAAATGTGTTATATACGTTGAAGTTTCTCTTGCTATTTTGACTCTTTTACATAATTATTGTCATTCTCAACGGTCAGGAGTCGTTCGAGGAAAATCAAAGAATACCTCAACAACATGTCTATTAATTTTCGAAATAAATCTGAATCAAATGCACATGATTTATTTCAGTTGTAAAAAGTTAATAATTCAGTACATTTTCCTAAATACAAGAACGGGGGGGGGGGTTATTTATTAATTTTTTTGAGAATATGGGCCGTTTCAATGCATGTACCGCAAACCATTGCTACAAATCCTACTACTTTTACATCGTGGATTGTCATGACTTTTAATAATAAAAACGTAATACATTAAAACTTATTAATGTGGTCAAATAAACTTCAATATTAATTAGCTTTTATTAATTAAAAAAACATATTGAGAAGATATGAATGTTCAGAAAGTGCATCTAGTCCAGGCACACCTGTTACACTTGCACATGAATAATGACATAAGATACAAAATTATCCGTATCGAAAATTCTGCTTTTGCAAAAAGTAGCAACGCAGATTATTTTTTAGATCATTTCATCTACACAGTAGTACATGTGTCTATAAGTCCACTGAACAAATAGTGTGGTGAATTTGCTCAATTTTATTTTATCAAGTTGCCGCACACAATATAGAATCATCTGCATTTCGACATGTATAGTCGACTTAAAATGTATCTGCATCCAGATGATCTTGTTTAAAAAAAAAATATATATATATATATATAAAAAAGATAAAATTGAGTGAATTCAACACACCGGTTTGTCAGGGTGCGCAGCTATTTTTAAAATACCGTTAGTAATAAACGTAAATTGAAGCTTAGTGACGGCGTTATGTTTATGAGCTGTCAAAAAGTAGAGATATAATAAACAGCTTCAGCACAAATACACATCTGTCTCTCTCTCTCTCTCTCTCTCTCTCTCTCTCTCTCTCTCTCTCTCTCTCTCTCTCTCTCTTTCTCTCTCTCTCCCCCTCCCTAAAACTCATACAGGGAAGCTCTCACCATGAAGTTCTCTTTTGGTGGCCCACGTCAGCTGCAGGCCTGTATGCACACCACATGCTTGCCATTGAGTGCAGTGAGATATTTGATTCAACCGTGCTCGTGCTCGGCGCTGAAGTTGAGATCAGCGGGCAAGATTAAGTGTCCTTTGCCACATAAAACAACCTCCTGCGGCGCCGGTGAATAGCATCTGTAAAAAGGGGCCCGATTGTGGGACAGAGCCGTTTGAATGTGATGCTCTAACTTCTCTGCCTCCAATCTGGCTCTCCATTGTTTCTCTCGACGTAGTGGGGAGCCTCCCATCTTGTTAGATAAGATAGGTTAGTTGTCATCCACATGAATTAACCAGCCCCTATCTCCTCCTCGGTGCTCAAATCCAAGGCCGAGGAGACGTTTGAGCTCCAAACTGAGAAATTTCGGCAACCCCCGCCCCCACCCGCCTGTGCGCCAAGCAAACCCCATACAAAAATGATCGTCCCTCAGCACCTGCACGCAGGGCCTGCAAGTGCGCTTTTATTCTCCAGACCCCACTTTACGCACCGCACTTTAAACAGAGTGATCTGCGAATAAACAAGGGCAGTAAACAATGGAGTGGAGACTATGCCCATGTATAGTAAGAGTACACACAAGCATCCACTCACATACACCAATCAAATTGCACTCAATGTAAACTCCAAATAGGACGCCGCAGCTCTGTAAATTTACACAGACATTAAAATTGGCACTATTCATTTTAGACATATCACGCTAAGCGGATTTTTTTTATAGCACACTGATCGATATCTCTGTAAAATAATCATTTTTTTAACTAGCGGGGCAGTGAAATCTTTGCTTTGTGCTAAAGTCAACAGTGACTGAGTTTGAGCTCAAATAAATGCCGCGATGTCTGGAGCCCTTTGCAGAAGGCACAAGGCAAAGCTTCTACAATGGGCTCCTGCATGCGTGGCTTAACTGCAACCAGCGGCTGCATTGCACAGGTACGGTCGCTTTTAAATAATCTAAACCTGCATGCTCAAAGAAGACAGATGCAATACATTGTGGAATACGTTGAGGAACGTGAGGAGTGTTTGCCGCACTTGGGTGCTGCTGGTAGCGGAGGGTGAGAACTTGAATTCTATGCAAAGGAGACGTGTTAGGTTTCAGAACAGAGTGGCGCAAAGCTGAGGGGACTGCAGCTTGTTGTACTTATGAGATGGAGAACGATTGCTTCTCCATGGACACACAAAAAAAAAAATATATATCAATAAATAACGAATAATGTAACCTGTCAAATAAATTTTAACATACGCACCAGTTTTTACATTTCCGGTGATTTTTCATTATGGGCTGTAAAATTGCTTAAGCATTGTTAGTGTGCTTACCGTTTTAAAGATATGAAGTTTGGCCATATAGGCTATATTCGATATATATCTATATATATCTATATAAAGATATATATACACGTCAATGTTAACTTTCTCATTTATTATTTTAGTTACTATATTGACATTCTTCTTATATTGTTGCTCTGAGTTTTCAAAATTGCATGAATATATTGTAAAATTTTAATAGAGGGTCACAACTATTTTATACACACACACATACACACACGTACTGTATTAACACAATATGAACCCAACCTAGCAACAATAACAATAATAATAATCATAATAATAACAAAAATAAAAATAATAACGCTCACTGTGTAATGTTTTTTAGTGACTAAATCTCATGTCTTATAGTGCGGGGTAGGAGAGGGAGAGGGGAATGGCCTTTTTGGAAATTTGAAGGAAAAAAGGAAACGGTCACAGCACACGTGGCTCATGCACCTTTCTCAGAAACGGGTTGTTATAGCAACTACTAAATAAAGCCTGGTCTAGTCTGTTGATCCCTTTACTCCCCTAACCTGATTTAGCTGGAATTCCCATGCATTTGCATATTCCTTGATTAAGGCTATACTCCCACGCGAACCATTCAGAATGACGTGTCGGGCTTTTATTGACGGGAGAAAAACAAGAATGATTAAATAACCTCGAGTTGTCTTCACAGACTAATATGATGTCTTGAGCTCTCAGCATCCGATCGGTCATTGCTTGCTGCACAACTCTAAAGTGAGACATTCTCCCTGCAGCGATGCATTTCAATGCCTGAGCGACTTCATTGAATGACTCAGTACAGTGGAAGCCTTTTACGCACCCACCCATGGGTGTTAACTGAGTGCTGCAACGCCAGAAAAATAACAGTGCATCCTTTTTTTCTTTTTTGAGGAATCAGAAATTTTAAAAGGTGCATGAGCAGTCCGATATGGGAAGTCGGGATCCATATCACAAGGATGCCCGTCAGAGTCCATTTAATGCATGCCTACGAATTGACTGTGATTTAATGTGGATAAATAGTGTTTCATAAAGCAGCGGTTCGGCCGCACCTTAAAGTCTCAAAGCGCCGCAGCTTGGAACACCCAAGTAGATCTGTTTCCATGGCAACAGCGGGACACCGGTCCAACAAGCTGTAATTCTGTCTCGGTCTTTTGGAGGGGAGGGACCAACTCGGCCAATTTAACTCCTCTTTCATCAGAGATACTTCTAATCCCATATTTTAGCAAGGCAAACTGTCTTCCCTCACTATATTAAAGACGCCACGAAGTCAGAACTCCAAGCCACCCAGCAGGCGGCCTGTCTCGGTCCGCCCAACGCCGTCTGTGCATCTGATTGGAAATGCATTAACCCTGCACTCAACCGGGAATGAATTATTCCGTTATTAACACACTCTTTTTTTGTAGGAAACGTGTGTGATTTGCAGGGGGTGATTATTACTCTCATATGCATGGGCGCAGATGGCATGGGGTGGGGGAGTGGTATGCACGTCCCCTTCACCTTAATGATGACTGCACTAACCCCCCACCCCCACCCCACCCGCACCACACACACTTTCGCCACGTGAGAATGCATAGGAAGAACACATGACAGAAAGTGTATTGTGCTCACAAGCATATCTGTTGAATAAGTGCGTTCCTTCAACTTCTTAATCCTCCCTTTTGGCCAGATTTCTATATATTTTTATGTATCTATGTATCTATGTATCTATGTATCTATCTATCTATCTATCTATCTATCTATCTATCTATCTATCTATCTATCTATATATCTATCTATCTATCTATCTATCTATCTATCTATCTATCTATCTATATATACAGTATATATCTATATCTATATCTATATCTATCTATCTCTCTCTCTCTTAATTAATCCATCTCTGAACACAACTCCCCGCAACCTTTTACCATTTCCATCTAAAAGATAGCAATGCAACAAAACAAAAAAAATAGTTTTTGTCCTCACAAATGGACAAATCACAGTTGATAAAAGTATCATTTTGTATATATATATATATATAAAATCTTGTATCAATTTGGTCCCTTGCCCCTCAATTCCAAAACCCCATCTGTGCCCCTGATCAGATGTTCGGAACGAATGTTGTGAACGAAAACAGAAAGATAATGTAACATTTTCAAATTTTCTATTTTGTATATCAATGAATATCTGAGCATATAATAATGCTGTTGAAAAACCATAGGCCTATTTCACATAGAATATGTCCAGATAATCACACTGTGCAAAATTAAAAACAAATAACAACAAGTTCCATGATAAACTGGCAATTAGAATTGATTTAACAAGATTAACCGCAGAACATATTCATATTCAACATATTTATGCAAACATTTTGTAATAACATCAGGCCGAACCTGTCATATTTGTAAACTAAGCAAAACATTTCAAAGAGTAATTAAGATTAAAAACAGTCTTAAATTGTAAAAGTACTTCAGTTATTAAGAAAATTTAATATAAAATACAGCCAGATGCTCATTTTAACCGCACCTGGGGCAAATTTCAAACTGATCATACAGTGAGTTGTACATTTTAATTAAATAATGCAGTAAATCTACCTATGGCACATATGATTTCTTGTTGTGCCCAAAAATATAATTTCCCTTTTCGTATTTACCTTTATTCCATTTTAAAACATGGCGTACAACAAGAAGCACATTGCTCCATCTTCAAAGTTAAACTCTTCTCATCTCTAAAGGTAAAGCATGATTGGATGGACTTTTAAGTTCAACAAAATCGACAGGGGTGGCATTTATTTTGAAAATCGAGATGTATGAGGGTCATCTTGAGGATGTGTTTGGATGGCGGTGTGCGTCTGCGTGTGTGTGTTTTTGAAAGGCAGACAGGGTGAAAGAGAGTGAGCGAGAGCGAGAGAGACAGGGCGAGAATGCGGCTGCTGACTGTGATGTGTCTGCGTGTCTTCTGACATGACTCTGTGACATTCCAGTGTGGGACTCCTTCATGTCGGGGTGATGGGATGTGTGATAGAGAGAGAGAGAGAGAGAGAGAGAGAGAGAGAGAGAGAGAGAGAGAGAGAGAGAGAAAGGTATTCTTAAAAGAAGAGAGAAAAAGAGTGAGCGAACGAGCGAGAGAGGTCCATCAACAATGGCCATTGAGTACTGGGGGAGGCGGCAGCTGGTGGGACACACAGTGACCTACAGGCGGTCTATTGAGGCCAGGATGGGGCGCCTTACTCTGCCCTGCTGCTTTTATGTGCCTGGAAATGGATGGATGGTCAGTGTTTATCCTTGTGAAATATTGCAACATGCAAATCGTATCTGTCCCTTTTCAAAAACATGGAATGACTCAGTGGATGAACCACGCACAAGGACGAGCCTGGAATGGATGATTAAATATGAGGCGCAGTTAGGAGAGGGTGCACATGCTTTCTGGCTGTTTTTTTTGGGGGGGGGGTATCTTTCCTTGGACATTTCCCATAAGGCCTCATGCCTGCTTTTCAGATCAAACCTTGTGGGCAAAGCTAACATGAAATTCTGTCAGCGAGCTTTGCCTATTCGTCCTGCCAAGGTTTTTTGCGATTCTCCTCCAACCATCCTAATGGATATCTGGGGCTTTTGGAAATAGCAAGCATCATGTCCCCTTTCCTCGCAGTCTGGCCCATTCAGCACCACATCGCCATAACGTGGCCCCTAAACTCGTTGCAAAATCTCTCCACATCTCCATCAGCTCTAGTTGCAGGAAGTAAAGGCAGCGCTTTGCCAGCCAATCACAACGAAGGACAACCAACTCATTAAAAGTTAATGAAACCTATAAACGTAGTGCGCCAGCGATTCATTTAAACCCCCAATCCAATCTCCTCTTCCAACGAAGGCAAACAAGCCCGCGTGCCCCCTGTGCCGTCCTCGGAATAACAAACTACGGAATATTTTGTCCTGCATATGTTCTCCTATGCAGACGTGCACTGTGATAGGCTATCTGACAATGGGTCTTGTCCACTTTAGTGAATAGCAGATTGATGTTCTGCAGGGAGGGGGGCTGGGGGGGGGATTCTGTAATCTGGGGCCGACTTGAATTTAATGCCTTTACTTTATAGCACACAGCTTGTCAGGAGTGGAGGTGATATGTCATTTCAACATTCATGAGAATCAATGACATTCAAGTCATGTGCTCATTTTCATACCTTATGCGTAGGGGCGGGGGGACATTCCCCGCATTATGTTCTTGTCAGACTATACGGCAATCTGCGCACCACCAAGGCCAAATGTGGACATATAGTCCTTTCTCCAAAACACTCCCGCCTCGTCTATGTCAATTTAATAACAACGAATCAACAGCAATAAAGTGCCACTTTACAAGTGTGCAAATCCAAAGTGGGGAGCGCTACCCTCCCGCCCCTTTGTCTTTAAGAGCTCCGTCTCATAGTGGTTTCCTCGAGGGACGCAAATTAAATTCCTGACATGTATAAGCGCCACTGTCAGCTCTCTAATGAATTCCCATACCCGATCTTGAATCAAATGAATCCCCAATTTAATCCTGTATAAATGGCTGCGTTATTTATAATGGAAAAGAGGACGCTCAGAAGAAGAATTGAGGAAAGCTGGGAGGTGTCTATAGGGCTGTTGAGCAGATTATAAGGACTGATGAGG